CATTTTTTTAATCTATTAAGAAGTTTATGTGTTATAAATGTTAAAAGAAATTTTTGGCATTCAAGCAAATGTTACACGCACTAATTAAAAAAAAGAGAAAGGATTTGCACACTGACTGCTATGTGCTATTAAATACATTTATTTGCCTTTTTTTTTTATTGAAATGATCTAATATACCCTCATCAATCTCACACTCTTTTTTTCTCTCTCTTTTTAAAAAAAAATTCTCATGAACATTATTAAAAACACAAGAGAACAATAAAATTAACTAGACTGAGTGAAATCACTAAAATTGTTTATAATAAATACTTTTTATTTGAAAAAGTTACCAAGTGATTTTGATAGGCTTGGTAAACTTTTTTTGATAAAAAACATTAAAAACATGCCAAGGTGCTCACCGCAAAGTATTCAAGATTCGACAAACTATAATAACAATAAAGGTAAAACACAGTTATTGATTATTTTTTATTAATTTCTTTACAACAATAATAACAATTATCATTATTTATTTATTCTTAATATTCAGATCTTGCTTTCAAGAATAGTAAACATACTTCTACACCCCATCAAATAAGAACAAATATTAATAATTATAATAATAACTTTTATGGTTATAATAATAATAAATCATCAAATCATTCATATTATAATGGAATTAATAATAGATTGAGTAATTTCCATTCAAAAAATTCTAATATACTTAATCATTATGATGGATCCAATGACAATGTAAACGCTAATAATCAAAACTTAGATTTCAGAAAAACCGAACTTACTGTATCAACAACAACGTCAACAACTAATAATAATTATAATAATTATAATAATAATAATAATAATAATAATAATAATAATAATAATAATAATAAAAATAAAAATAAAAATAATAATATTATTATTATTGATCATTACACCAATACAACCACATCAAAAAAGAAAAGACCTTTATCGCCTGCTATACCTCCAATTGATTTAGAATTTTCAAAGAATAAACAAAAATTTAATTTATTTAATAATAATGATTCTTACAATAAACGTTTTCAAAAGTTTTCAAATCTTAAAGATATAAATAGCTCAGATAATTCTTTTACATTTACAAATAATAGCAATTTTAACAATGCTAACTTCTATCAACAAAATCAAAGATCAAAACAACAAAAACAATTTCAAAATCAAAAAAAAAAAACTCACCTTTCACCTAAATGTGGAAAACAACTCATTCGGCCTTTGCCTATAATAATTTATGATATGGATTATATAAGAAAAAATTTCAATACTGAATTAATTGCTTCTAAAAAAGAAAATGAAATTTGGTTAAAAACCCCTAAAATTTTCATTGAGAATCATGTTAAAGATCCCATCAAATGGGAATCTTTTGGTCCAGATGAAAATAAATTACATAGAGCATTAATCTCTGCTGAAATAAATGGAAAAATTATTGTTAGTCGTGGCGATGCAAAAACAAAAAAAGATTCTTCAAAATTCGCATATTTGAATTTATGTTATTCTATAGAATCTATGGGCTTGATGAATTACTTGCTTGAATTAAAACGATCTAATCAATCATTGAACTCAAATTTATCTGACATTGATTCAACAAAACATGTTATAGAATATTGTGCAAGATTTGATCATGTACCTAAGTTTCAAGTTTTTCAACTCAATTCTGATCAAAACAATAACGATTCTTGGGAAGCCGTCATAGAACTCCCCTCTCAAGGTTTAATAGGTCGTGGTCATGGTAAAACTATAAAAGAAGCTGAAATCATGGCTGCTAATGATTTTAAAAATTATGCCGAAGAATACATGGCACTTCACGGTGCTGATTTTCTTTCAACCTCTGAAGCTAATATAATGACTGAAGATATGGCAAAAAAATTTATCAATTTTTACTGTAGATATTATAAATTAAGATCCCCTGAATTTAAATTTACTACTTTGGGTCCTGATCATTCTCTTTTATGGGAAGCTTCTTTATTCACTGCTAATAATTTTTTGGGAAAAGGTCAAGGTTCTAATAAGCGCACATCTCAAATTGCTGCTTACTTGGATTCAGCAATCTTTTTACGTAAAGATTTTCCCAAAATTTGGGAAATGTTTGACCAAGATAAGTTAAATGCCAAACTCAAACCTACTCGCCCATTAGATATAAAAATGAATGATGAAGTTTTTAATAAATTATGTAATTTAATGTCCGAAATCAACAAAAACAGTAGTAATAACAATTACAGTATTAAACAAGATAATTCATTAATTAAACCTAATTTAAATAATGCCAACAACAGCAAATCTAGTGACAATAACAACCACAGTAACAACAATAATAATAAATCGGGTTTTTATTCTATAAACCAAGATTCTTTAAATTATAAATGGATTACTGAAAAATCAACAAAACTTTATGAAGCTTATCAAAATTACCTTCATTCTCGACAATCGCAAAAGATTCTTTTAATTCGTCAACAACTTCCAATCACTTCATTTGCAGACACAATATTAAACACAATTGATCGGAATCCTGTCACTGTGATTGTTGGTTCAACTGGTTGCGGTAAAACTACCCAATTACCACAATTAATATTAGAAAATGCTATTAGAGAAAAGCAAGGTGCAAAATGCAATATCATTGTTACTCAACCAAGAAGAATTGCCGCTGTTTCTGTTGCTCAAAGAGTTGCTTATGAGAGATCAGAAAAAATTGGCCAATCTGTTGGTTATCAGGTTCGTTTTGAAAGTGTGGTCCCTTCTTATGGTGGAAGTATATTATACTGTACAACTGGTATTTTCCTTAGAAAAATGCATGAAATTAAAGATGGAAAAAACTTATTAAACGATATTAGCCATATTATTGTTGATGAAGTACATGAAAGAGATATGGACACAGATTTCTTGTTAGTCATTTTAAAACAAATTTTAAAAGCTAGCCTTGAAAATAATTTGCCACCTATTAAAATAATTCTTATGAGTGCTACTGTTGATACAGGAATTTTTTCAAACTATTTTGGTGAACTCTTTCCAAATAAAAAATGTCCCGTTATCAAAATCCCAGGAAAAATTTATCCTGTTAAACACTACTTTTTAGATGATATAATCCCATTATTACATTCTTCGTACAATCATTTAGAACTTACTCGTCTGGATCATAAAGATTCTCAAAAATATATTGATCGTGAAATGAGAATCCCAAAACAAAAGAACAACAATATACATTATTCTTCTTATTCCCCTCTTCCTAATAATCTTTCTTCTTCAAAAATGTCTTTTCAACGTAAAATATTAACTTCTAATTCGATGGATATTGATAACGGCGATGTAGAAAATGAAATTGATGATACTGCTTCTAGAGGTTCTTCTTCATCAGGATATATTGATTGGTCAAATTCAAAACATAACGATGAAATATTAGATGCTGAAATTCCCTATAATTTGATGGCTTTAGTGATAGCTCATATAGTTAAATCTTCTAAAGAAGGTTCTATTTTAGTTTTTTTACCTGGTTGGGATGAAATCATGACTCTTAGTAAACAACTTACCACATCACCATATCCACTTGGTATTAATTTTTCAGATCAAAATTCTTTTAAAATTCATATGCTTCATTCTTCACTACCTACTATATCTCAACAAGAAGTATTTGATCCTTTACCTAGTTCAAATATGCGAAAAATTATACTTGCTACCAATATTGCAGAGACATCAATAACAATTCCTGATATAGTATACGTTGTCGATTCAGGTAAGCTCAAAGAGAACCGTTATGATCAGTCAAAACACATGACAAATTTGACCACTACTTGGATAAGTCAATCAAATTCTCGTCAACGTGCTGGTAGAGCAGGGCGTACATGTGAAGGTGAATACTACACAATCATGTCACGTACCAGATACCAAAATATTGAGGAATTTTCAACTCCGGAAATGTTACGTTCTGACTTACAAGGAATTTGTCTTCATATAAAAGCACTTGATCTTCCATCCAAAATTGAAGAGGTTCTTGCACAAGCTATTCAACCCCCAGATCATACAAGCGTTACAGCAGCTTTAGATAATTTAAAACTATTACAAGCATTAAATTCCAATGAAGAATTAACACCACTAGGAAAAGTTTTGGCTACACTTCCTCTTGAGCCGGGTTTAGGAAAGATGGTATTACTTGGTGCTATATTTCAATGTTTAGATCCAATTTTAACAATAGCCGCAAGCATGACATGTAAGAATCCATTTTATTCGCCTATTCAAGCAAAAGAACGTGCTGATGAAATAAAGGCACAATGGGCTCAAGGAACTTCCAGTGATCATCTTGCCATTTTAAATGCATATAAAGCTTGGTATGAAGTTCATAGGACTGGTGGTTATTATGTGATAAATAAATTTTGTTCAGATAATTTTTTGAGCAGGACTGGATTACAAACTATTGAACAAATAAAGATTCAATTACTTAACTTATTACAGAAGGCTAAGGTTATTCCAAAATATTATCAGGACCGTGAATACAAATCATCTCGTACTTTTATTTCAGGACCTCCGGAATATAATGTCAATTCAAAATGCATATCACTTATCAAAGCTTTAATTTGTGCAGGTGTTTCTCCTAATATATCTCTTAAAACTTCTAAGAAAACATATCGTACTAAGCATGAAAATTTAACATTTGTTCATCCAGCCTCTGTGAATTATAAAGGAAGAGCTGCTAAAATGGTTATTGTCAATAATATTAGAAATAATTGTACCAGTGATAGTTATAACCACAACAATTTTGAAGCAGATGAAGGTTTAACTGTACCTTCAGGAACACTTTTTGTATATTCCAACAAGATAAAAACTAATGGGCAAGTTTATTTACATGATACAACATGTATTGACCCATTTTCGGTAATAATTTTTGGTGGTGAAGTTAATATTAAGGGAATTCAGAATAATTTAATTTTAACAATTGACGATTGGTTGCATTTTAATGATGATGAGAAGACAATAAATTTAATTATTAATTTGAAATATTTATTAGAACAATCTTTGACCAAATTATATGAACAATTAGGGGTTGAAGAAAATTATAATAACAATAGAAGCTATAATTATGGGATAGTTGATAGATTAAACACAGATGATGAGATGTGTAAATTAAAACTTGTTATTAAAGGGGTTGTCGAATTACTAGAATTACTAGATAAATTTCAAGATTTGTCATTACACAGAAATTAGTTAATTATAGATTTTTTAATTTATTATTATATTATTAATTTATCACCCGTTCATCCAATCATTTTCATAATTTCTCCCTGATTATATATATTAAAGTTCCGAACGAGCCGACTCGAAATCACGATTTTGCAGACCACTGAAAATTATAGAAGTAAACAATAATAAATTAAATCATCATCCAAATAATTTTGACTAAAAAAAAATTTTTTAAATTTCAAGATTTCCATGCAAATGCTGAAATTTTAGAATGCTTGATAAAATTTTTGGGAATTGGCCATGTTCGGGTATTCCCCTCGTTTCAACGAATCTGAACACATAATAATAAGAATAAGAAAATTGCATTTAAGGGTAACATAGCGGGCTTTCTCTGTGATTGGTTGATAATTTATAATATGCCGATCGTTTTTATTTATTACTTCCAAGACAATAAATAATATAAAAAATAGATAGATAGATTCTTAACAATAATTTTATTTGTAATTGGTAATAAATAATTCAGCAAAAACATTAATGTGGGAACTTTTGCTATAATAATAATTGCAATGAAAAAAATATATAATAAAGTACACATATGGTACAAATATCCCATATCAAAATGACTAATTTGAGAGAAACAGCATATCCCACCCATCACATAAAATAATATGTTGAATGAAATTTGATGTTTGATATAATCGATAAATGTATCATTTACTCACTACCTACAATATATTAAACTATTATGCGATTCTTATTAAATATTAAGTAAATTATAAATATTTAAATTTGTTCACGCATTCACCATAAAACTAATAACACACCAGACATAATCACAACCATTCTACAACCATTGTGCATACCTTCTTTTTGTCCAGTGATCCTTTATGTTATTTAGATCTATAGAAGAGTGTAAGAGTTATATGATTAACATTTATTAATGTACATTTTCAGCTTTTTATAAAAAACAATAATTTAATTTAATTTAATTTAATTTAAATAAATAAATAAAACGTTTTATTTATTCAAAAACATCTCAAATCACTAACCAGAATATCAAACAGAATCTAAACTCTATTAAAATTGTTCTTTACAGCTCTAGTGATTGTTAAATAATTTATTATTTGGGGCATGCTGCAACAAAACCAGACAAAGTGAACATTGGTATTACCAAATATTTCAGGGTCAAAATTTAGTAATGTGATTATTAAAATC